AAATTGCTATATATTAAATAAAATGCCTGCAGTTGGCAAAGTTGCAAGGAAATGGACAGGCTTATTCATTGAGCCTAGGAGTAGAAATTAATATCACATTTTAGGAGAGCTTACTGGCAATTCTTGGCCCAAACCACAAGAATGGGTATATCCTGTGACTCAACCTTTCCACCTCTAGGAATTTATTTTGGGGGATGCATCATGGACACACAGTTAGCTATGTATAAAATGAACACAGTGTTTATGGTTAAAAATTGAAGGGTTGGTTAAGTTCATTATATAATCTTCATAAGATGAAGAACTATTCCATATTATGTACCAGAATTGGTTATTACAATGGGGAATGTTTCCTCTGTCTTTTTTTTTTTTTTTTAAATCTAAAAGACAAGTGATTAAAAAGTATATAAATTAATATGACTAAAAGATTTTATTTAACAAGCAATTTCTGCTTGTCGCTGTTCTTTACTGCTTTCTGCTGATTATTTCATGGCAACCTCTGAGATACGTTATCATTTTATTATTCACATTTTACAGATTAGGAAACTGACGAACCGGAGGGAGTTATGTAACTTGTCCAAAGTTTTTCAGCCCATCTGAGGCAGAGTCAGAATTTAAACTCAGTTCATCTGCCTCTGGAGTCCCTAATTTTATCCAGTGCACTCTGATCCTATTTTCACAAGATAAGCAAATACAAATGTACATTAAAAACTAAAGATTCATGTTTACTTGTTTAAAAATATGTAATATTATAAAAACTCTATTCTTAAACATTTTTTATAAATTTTACACAATTCTTATAATTAATATATATTAATTTTGTAAAATAGCTTATATTTTAGAGAGGAAGTGATAAATGCTGAGAACACAAATGTTTTCTGCCATTTCCAAGGTTCAGAGCTAGGTTTTGGTTGGAATGGATGGCTTCAGCAAGGAGGAGGGGTAGGGTATACGTGGAGAGGGTCTGGCTAATGAATTCAATACCATCTCCACTGGCTGGTGGTTGACTTTATGTCCAGGCAAATGATAACCTTGTGGGCTTTGTAATTTCCCATGCTGTTTGCAACTCATGCCATTGGAAGCAGGCCTGCTTCCAAGTAGGGATATGAATGTGAATCCCTTCCAAGTAAAGAGTATTTATTTTTTCTTACCCAGTCTCATGTCTGTCCTCTTCACATTTTATTGGAGAGTCATTTTGTATGTGCATCATCTGGGACCAACTGTTGTATCGTGATGTTGTCACATTCAAGTATTTACCCCTTTGCATGGAAAGAAAAGTGTCTGATTAGCGGCATGCTTGTTTATACCCAAATGTCCTCCACTTTTTCACATGAGGGTCAAGCTGGACACTTTAGTTTGGTTTTGCTCCTAAATATGTATCTTCCCTCCCTAAACCAATTGATGGATTTATTCATGCATATTGATTCTGATTAACTTTTCTATTGCATCAGTTGGTAATTGGTCATAAGGAAATTTATAGCAAAGCATAATAATAATTCTTTAAAGAGAACTCGAGATGAGAAAACAATTTTGTTCCCTATTCCACATAACCAACTTCTGTTATACACAGATTTAAAAAAATCCTGTCTTCTAAAAAATGATTGTAGTATCTTTTTGATTAAAAAATTATTTTATTCACTCAACTTTTAAAAAGTTAATCATATTTATGATGCTAAAGTATATTTAAGAAGATTTAAAATTCCTTTAAGTAGAAAAAGAAATTGAATAGTTTAAAGATGATTTCAGGTCAGATTAAAATCTAAACCAGACTGTCTTCTCTGTAACTTGTCTTCTGGCTCCAGAATCCTGAATCATTACTCAGGAACAGACTTCCTGTACTCTTGCATTGGCGGGCTCATTTACCCAGAAATTAACTGTTAGCATGTGCTTTCTAAAAGCTTTGTGATAGATACATTTTTCATGAAAAGAAAGGGACATGCAAATGCCCATTTCCCTGATTGTTGAATTAGATTTCTAATGATATTGGATCTATATTACTGTTCTGCAGAGGTACCTTCCCCAAACAACTGCCTAATATCTGTGCTCTTCTGTGAGTAGGCAGGCATGCAAAAATGTGTGTGATAAGTCAATCTGAAAAATTTTCTTGTAACAGGTTAAAGACATTGTCTATTATTTTATTCAATGACCCTTATCTCGGAGTGAAACTAAATCATCCCAAATGTCAATTCAAGAAGACTCTTCAGATGAACTTAGAGACCTCCCTTTGTCACAGATCGAAAATTGTATCATTCCTTTTTGCTTTGATCAACAGAGACCTAAAAATCAAGTTTCGGTCTTAATTTAAGTGACTATCTCATACCTGAAAGATGAAAGTATATATAGATTCTTTGCTCTAAATTTTCTTTTGGCTGTGTTTTAACTGTCCTGCTACTTAACAGAGGTTTTATAATCATAAACGGCCAGAGGTGATTTTCTGTGTTCTAAGTATACATGATAAACCTAATTCTCTTGACAGGAAAAATATGGTTAGATTTCCTTTCCTGTTCTATAGGTACTCTTACATGTGGTTTGGCAAGTTGAGATGTTACAAAAGTTTTTTTCCTATATTCTTGTGTTGGAAGTTCAGATACATAAAGACTGTGAAAAATGAAAATCTTCTAAAAATAGTCCCTTTGTTTAATATTTCAGTGTTTAATTATAATACTAACTATTCAAGTACATGGACCTCCTCTTAACTTAAACATATCCCAGTACAAAGTAGGGTATTTCCTGTTTCCCATACTCTTTCTCTTTTCCCAAAGATATTCCTTATAGCAGACAGAGAAGTTGGAGTCAATCGAATGTTCATCAGTTGGACAGTTAACAAATAAATTCCTATTTTGAATATTATATAGTAATTTAAAGAAAAGCAAATCTGTATACTATTACACAATATCAAACCACTTTGATAGATACCAAGTGAGGTTGTAAAACACAGTTTCATGCAGGCCAAAAATTCAAATTACTTTTTTCAAGGGCTTATTTATGAATATAAATTCTCAATCCAAATTGAGGCAGGATACCTGCCAAATTCCTTTCTAATTTCTATGCGGGGGAAGGAATTGTGATATTTGTGGAAGTTCATAGGGACTTTTGTTTTTTTTTCTTCCTGTAATTTTTCAAACTTTTTACAAATGTGTAAACTTAAAATTGACAAGTTTTAAGATAATATTATATGGAAGTACTCAACACGATAGCCTATGCGGTATCTCTAGCTTTAATAACGGATTTAGGGTCCCTGGGTGGATTCTGTTTTACTGACACAATACTAGGACACTGAAAAAGAGGAAAAGATCGTTTACCAAAACAATCAAAGACAAAAAAAAAATTACTATAAAATTTATATTTTTCTACTGATACTTCATGTTCTTCTGTTGACCTTTCCTAACCCTGAAGAAATCATGGAAATTTTAAGATAACAGTACAATGACTGTGGGTTGAGGCACAGCTAAACTGGACTGAAGTCAGGCTGGCAAATTGTCATGCTGTTTTTGTATTTATTTCTTTCAACTTTAACACCCACAATTTATTAAGTGAGACTGTGGATAAAAGAGGAAGCTCAGAATCCTGTTTGGACACCGTTTAGGAAGGAAACCAGGTCTTTATGGGGCACCCCCTTCCTCTTAGCCACTGGCCAGGAAAACCATCTTTCTGTTTAAAACCTATTCAATCTGAGAGGTGGGGTGACTTTGGGAAGGAAGGTGACCTCTCCCTTGTAAAGTGGAATGGCTCTGTTTCCCCCATGACTTATTCAACTCATTTCCACCACTGTTTATAAGAACACTTGTGCTGAATGCTTGAAGTGACAGCAATAGTCAGTTAAAATATGGCTCAAATTTCATGCCTTCAAATTTCCTATGTTATTTCAAATCTTTAATCATTATAATCCCAAATGGAGCTTTTGGTCAGTTCAAGTTTCGCTGATGTCCTTTGGGAGTAAACAAGGATGCTTCTTATAAGTAACAGAAGTTTAATCAATACATAGAGAGCTGTGAACTCATAAAAGCGTGGCTGCTCTCAAATCTGGAAAGAGAACGCTTTGAGGGGACCCACATCGTTTCCAAAATGGCACAGGAGGTATTTTTCTGGGATGCCTTATGCGTTGGGGTCCACGGGCAGAGTAGGGTGTGGAAGTGATGTGACCTGCTGGCTGAGAGAAGCTATCAGAGGAACTTATTTATTTTGAAAACTTCTCAGTGTTTTGTGCATTGTAAATATCTTTGGATGTTGACCTCACCTTCAGCTACGCTCCTGGGTTTAATTTGCATTGCTCCATGGCTGTGAAACACTGTTTTCTTAAAATCAGTTCCTTTATTCCTTTCTTAAAAATATTTTAATTACCTCTTTATTTTGGGATAATTTTAGGTTTATAGGAAAGTTGCAGGGATAATCTAGAGTTCCTATATACCCCTCACCTTGTTTCCCCTAATGTTAACTCTTCACATGGCCATGGTACATTTGTCAAAACTAAAAAAAGAAAATGGACATTGGGCATTACCATTAACTAAACTTGGGTCTTTATTTGGATATTACCAGTTTTTCCACTAATGTCTTTTTTTCTGTTCTGGAATCCAAGCCAGGCTACCACATCGCACTTAATCATCTTATCTCCTTCTGTCTTCTGAACTGTGACAGCTTCCGACTCTTTCCTTTTTCCCATGACCTTGGCAATCTTGAGAAGTACTGGTCAGGAATTTCGTAGACTATTTATCATGTTTAATAAATGAAAATGTATAACCTCTGGGATTTTTGAAGGAAAGCCCATGTAGACCTACTAATAATTTGTACCACTGATTTTCCATTAATAACCCAGTTTTACCCTGTTGATTGTTACTTTATCCTCTTATCAGTTGAATAGCATTCTAGAATTTAAAGTTGATGTATGATGGGTTTAATATTTGCTGCATATCTGCTTCATCTGCGTGTGCTTTTTACGGTCTCAGCTTTGCCAGTTTAGTTTAAGCCCCCTAGAGATTTGGTGTTTTATCTGTTGTTTATGACAGATTCGAGATGGACAACCAAATTGCTACGTGTTGAAGAATAAAGATTTAGAACAAGCTTTTAAAGGAGCTATTTACTTGGAAATGGACCTCATATATAACCCGGTGAGTCTAGCTGGACCAGCCATACCTCCCAGCTTCTCTCTAACCTAAAGTAAAAGATGACCAGCCTGGTGAGACTCAAATCTCAAATCCCTGTAAAATGTTTCAGACATGTTGCCACTAGAGAGAGAGAAGAGGGTTTTGAACTTCGACTCTAGAATCGGTGCGGGACAATCCAGAATCCAGTTTTTAACTGGTATTAATCCCCTTGAGCCAGTAGAAATGATGGTATTTAATTCCCAGGACATCCAAATGTCAAGGAAAAACAAAACAAAACAAAAAAGTAAAACAAAAGAAAAAAGAAAAAAAAGGAGAAATTTGTTAGCTTTATTTCCAGTAATCTTGAAGGTCACAGCTGGCAGTCAGACAGAGGTAGGTATTTTCAAACCCCTGACGTGTTATTTAATTGTTACGGTAGATGTCCTGCTATACAACACTATCAAGAGAAGTAGTTACTCATTTGGAAACTACAGTTGAAGGAGGAGTTTTTAAAACCTATCTTCAACCTTTAGTTTACTATAAAATATGTAGATAATCTTTTGCCCATCTTTAGCTATGGGCATAAAATCTGTTTTTTATAGCATGGATTTATTATGTTTAGTTTTGTAACCTGTTCCTTGCATAAATACACTCATAACATCGATAATAATATCTACTTTCAGTTTTTTGTTTTTTTTTTTAAGTGGAGATCTAATTTAAAGATCCAGAACCATCTGAGTATAGAATTTTCCAGACTGTTTTTTTCCCATAAAATCATTACCTCAGTATCTTTTTAGGGACTGACCTTTATCAAGGCTTTCTAGAGTGACACAGATTTCAAGTCTTTGGGTCCATGCTTGGATTTCAATGATTTATATGATACTTGATTAAAATATGGAATTAGAATAATAGGCAAAACCGGCAGAAACCAGATTGGGAGTTAACACAGCTGATTCTTGGTGGGCATGTGATTTGATTGTTGTGAGAGGAGATTCCTTCGCGTGCAGAGATGTGGCCTACTTAGTTGTGACCACGCATATGCCATGGTATCAGCAGCCGGTTCCAGAAAGGCAAAGGAGAACACGGGTTAATCCAGTTAGCGGTATAAATGAATGTAGGGTAATGGAGTTTTTATGGTATTTATAAGAATGGCTGCCATTTAGTGGCCACCTACAATGGGCCAGGCTCCGACATTATTGCATTTAATCCTCCCAATAAACCTGGTAAATAGGTATCGTTAGTGCCATTCTATGATAAGCCAATGGAATTAAATACGATAGCTGATTTACTCATAAATGAGTGAGTCAGCATACAGATCCACGTTTTTCTGATTCTGTGGTGATTCCTATGCTACTCTGCTTCCTGTGTAGTGTATTTAAGGAATTATTCATAAAATCAATGGCAGGGACATTATTATATTTTTAGTCTCCAGTATGGAGATGGTGATGTTACGGCCTTATCTTTCCCATTGAGTTCGCTTTCCCTTCGAGGAAATCCTCTGGGCATCTTGTATCGTCCGTGACCCTGCATTTCCTGTTTTCTTCTGGCCACACTTGTATACGTAGTCTGTGCACACAGGTCAAACCTGAGTTTTAGGGAAGAGAGCATTACCGAGAAAATATGTTAGTGGTGCCATTTCCCAGTTGTCCATCCAATGGAGTGGAGAGGGACTTGGATTTTATTCTTTGAGCTTTTCCTCAGTATGGTGATTGGGATAAGCCACGAAATCTCTCTGAGCCTCAGTTTATCCCCCACAAAATGGGTCTCAGATGACTCATCTACTTATTTTTCCATAGAATTGAGAGGAAATGGGATTCTCTGTGGAAAGATGTTCTTAAAAGCAGGAAACTGATTTTCACAGACAAAGTGAAAAAATGGTTCAAAACCTTGATGGGAAGGCAGTTTTATTTCTTTGAAACTGGTTCTAGAGCCTCCTGAACTCAACCTGCGCAGGAGTTTAAAATACCTCCACTGATTTGCTAAGTGGATGCAACAGTCTTGGCGTTCCCTGGATCCAGTCTGACCTACCCCAGTGTGCTGGGGAAATGAGATCCCCAAGAACACATTAAGGGGTGTCCTCCGTCACCTCAGCTCCCTGCCAAAGGCCTGAGGGTCAGAAGATATTGCTTTCCACATTCTTCCCAGTCATTAACAAGAAAAAGAGAAGAATGAAGTCCATTTAAATGCTGTCTTTTTTTTTTTTCTAAACAATGATGTCTTTCTAGGTCAAAGCAAGTATTAGGACTTTTACTCCCAAAGAAAAGCGCTTTGTTGAAGATACCCGCAAGCTGTCCAAGAAGGTAGGTGGGTACCCTTTAAAGGGGCCCTGATATACTCAGCACCGGAAGTGCTTATTTGTCCTTACTTAGCATCTCTCTCCTCCTCCCTCCTCCCCTCCCTTCCTTCCCCTTCTCTCCCCTCCCCTCCCTTCCTTCCTTCCTTTCTTCCTCCTACCACCCTTCTCCTCCCCCCTCTTCCCGCTCCCTTTCTCTCTCTACCCCTCCCTTTCCCTGTGTCCCTCTCCTTCCCTTTCTCCCTCCTCCTCTCTCCCACCCCCCCAATTCTCTCAGCTTCTCCCCATCTCCACTCCTTCCTCTGCCTCTCCCCATCTGTCCCAGAACAAGGACCTCAGTTAGCAGGATAAGAAAGAACAGACTGAAAACTAAATGTTGGATGAAGTAGAAGGTGTCAGCCCTCCATTCATCTCCTGTGTCATTCTATCAAGGAACATTCCTAGTGTCAGCAGCCTCTGTAGACTGACGTGGCTCACCCTGCTAGCCTCAATCAGTTAAGGCCCTTTCCACCTCTGTCCTGTCAAGGTCACAGGGAGGTGCTCTGCCCAGGGAGGCCTTAACTGCCTCAGCCCAGCGAATATTAGGGGTCTCTAGCCTCAAGTTCCCTCATGATGCTCCTACCATTTTTGTACTGTCTACACATTTGGAATGTGTTGGCATTTTACCGCATTCTGGGTCAACTCTCTCCCTCTGCTCGTTTCCCTTAATCCCTCTCTCATTGGTTTAAAAAAAGGGATGATCAGGGCCCAGTAGGGGACATTTTGCGTTTTTTTAACATGACCTTTATATTTCTTTTCAGAGTCCCTCCCTGTCTTACTCTGAAGCAGTCCAGGATTTCACTCTGTACCTATTGTCCCTCCTCAGTTGTGTAACAAAGAACAAAGTGTCCCCTTTTTAAAGTGTTTATTACTTCCACCACTTCCTGTGGGGTGGGCAGCTGTGGATGACATAGAGCCGTTAAATATAAACGCATCTCCTCACCCTTTTGTTTCCCATGAACTTCTGGGCACACTTGGGAAAGGCCTGGAATGTCTTCTGAAGGGAGCATCCCCGTGTTTTGTTTTGGTCTGTCATAACATTGAGTGTAATATTTATTTGGTGTAATCTGAGTAAACGTCTTTTATTATTTTTATTATTATTATTATTATTATTACTACTGCCTTGTGCCCTATTTTCTTGAAAGTTAAAACCGGCATTGGAGTCCCTGGGCTGGCTGCTTTGCAAACAACTTGAAATGAATCTGCCTACAACTGGGAGAAAGGACTTTTACTTTGCCAAGCAGGACCTCCGCAGGGGGTGGCTTTGGGCTCTGAGAGCTCCAGGGGATTTAGGGCTGAAATCCTGGGGTCTGTTAGGACCTTCCCCACATGTCTTTCACCTCAGCAGGTCTCCAGATTTTTACACACGTTGAGCTTATGTTTAATTATGATGCAGATACTTGAGATCATTACCCATGGCAGGCACTTTTCAAAGGCCCTCAATTTTCTTCACTGTCCACAAGGTGAATACTAAGATCAACCCCATCCTATAGGACCAGAGAGGTTAGGAAACTGGTTGCAGGTTGCATAGCGAGGAGGTGGGAGAGCTGGATTCTCCTCCCAGAATTAGACGTTCCTATAGTCTTTTCCTTCTAGACTCTACGAGCTAGAATACTTGTACATCTAGTTTCTACAAAAATCCATCCATTTCCTTCTAAACTAATAAGCTCTCTCTCTCTCTCTCACATACACACACACACAGACACATACACGCATGCATACCCCCCAAATGCTTTGCTGCCGTAGCTTTTACCAGCTCGGTTTTGTCCTGAATATTATTGAAACGGGCTACTCTCCATCAAAAGAGCTACAAAGTGCATTGTATTTTTTTTCCTTCTGTGGAGGATAGTGTTTGAAAAAGAATTTTAGAAAAAGCACGAGGGGTTTTTCCTGTCTATTTTTTTTTTTTTTTTTTTTGAATTGACAGCTATGCAGACTGTAACTTAAATGACGGAGCCGCCTGATCTAAAGAGAATATTTAGAGTATTTCAATCTTGTTCCTTGTTTTCCGTTCTTTTTATTAGATCTTATCGAGGGATATAGACCGTGTGAAAAGAATCACCATGGCGATGTGGAATACAATACAGTTCCTTAAAAGCTGCTTCCAGTGGGAATCCACGGGGAGAAGTGCCATTGCATTCGTGGTAAGCCTCGATTTTATGTTCAAATTATTTGCGTTTGAGTCCCAAATCCAAATGCAGATGAATTTTATTTTACTCACATGATGCAGAGTTCTACACATTGAATGCAGCCCAAGTTCACACCTGTAAGGAAACTTTAAAATATAAATGATATCCATCTGTGTATCTTTCCGAAATATACTACAGCGTAAATGACTATGTAGATGTCTAAGACTGTACTTACAGATTTACCCTTGGAAAGCCCTTCAATTACCCAAATCTTACTCAGATACTCTCTCTCAGTAAGTTTAGAGACCTCAATTCTATATTTTTGTAAATTTTTTTTTCCACTCAAAAAGGTGTCTTTATTCAGGGTGGTTATTTTTATATTAACTGTGTCTGTGGAGTCCCTCCATTGTTAATATTTCTCTCCCTCTGTCCCAGTGAGTGCCAGTGTTTTGTGAAAAAAGTGATGGTTGAAAAAAAAAAAAAGTGGTGGTTGAAGACTCACATGATGAAATTGCTTGTTTATGATTTAGTAAATCATCACAGACTTTGATATAAAAACATTGATTTCTATCAAACTACTTGAGTCACATGACAAGGTGACCCAACACCACAGAAGGGAGTGACTAATGTAAGTCAGAGCACTCTTCCTTCTCTCTGGTGATGCTGAGCCATCCTTAGGAGTGAAATAAAACCACAAAATATTCTCGCAAGATCTACAAACATTCTCAGAACCACCTAAGTTAACCTCTGAGAGCCCAGGAATCTTTTAAGGACTTGAAAGTTGGTGCCATGCCCCCAACTTAGGCCTCTGGGCACTCTCCACCATTTGTAAAAAGGACTTGTTCTTGAAGAGATTGGTAGTGTCAGACATGGAAAGAGAAACCAAATCTCCCAACTGCTAATCTTGTCCCCCCCGCTTTTTTTTATCATGCTATTAACCTTTGTATTGTGCAAAGATCACAATAAGGCCTAATAGGATGTGTGAGTCGTTCTGAGTCAGGATCTTCGGTAAATCATGAATCTTCTGCCTCTGTTTTTTGTTTGTTTGTTTGTTTGTTTGTTTTGTTTTTTAATCGTCCATGCTTTCTCCTACCTCATAGGCACATCCTCATTTAAAAAAAAAAAAAAAAAATTTAGGGACTCCTGGGTGGCTCAGTCATTAAACATCTGCCTTCAGCTTAGGTCATGATCCCAGGGTCCAGGGATCAAGGCCCGCATTGGGCTCCCTGCTCAGCGGGGAGTCTGCTTCTCCCTCTCCCACTCCCCCTGCTTTGTGTTCCCGCTCTCACTGTCTCTCTGTCAAATAAATAAATAAATACAATCTTTAATTTTTTTTTCTTTAAATCAGCCTAAGATGTCAGTGCGTTCAAGGTCATTCTCATCTTTATTCCTTATTACACATATCACATATACACTATAGCAGCTCCACAAGAGACTTTTTCTTTGCCGTGGAGAACGTTCTGTTTGGTTTCATTAATTTTAGACTTCCGTTGCTTCAAGATGTAGAGGGCCTATGAGGGCTATGACCAGGACTTTTAATATACTTCTTCTTTGGTCTGAAGTTGCTAAAAACAACTGGCCTTAATAAAAACATAAATAAGAATGCTCTTAATCCTTATCTGTCTTGTTCTGGCATTTATTCATCTGCCTCCCTTTCTTTCAATGTTCTCCTCAGCTGGAGGCTTCATGTTGGCTTCCTCCTCAGCCTCCCCACCTGCACTTCCCACCTGAATTCTCTTCAAAACTTTCCACAGAATGTTCTCTTGTGATTCTGGGCACAAGAGGAAAGTCAACACAATCGGTGGCTTCTTCCAGTCAGCACCCCAGCCAGCCCCTGTGAGGAGGAGAGGATTTCCTCTTTCTTGAGCTTAATTTCTGGCACTGTGATTTTTAGAAAAACAGAGCTCCATTGCACGGACTTATATAGAGGAATGACAGAAATGATTAATGGACTGCCGGCCTGATCTGAAGAAAGATTAGAACAAATGAATAGAAATAGGTTGTCTACTCGAGGGGCCTTCTCAATGGGAAAGGGGCATCAGCAGTGGGTCCACCGTCCAGTCCCGGCACATGTCCGTCCTGGGGGGCACCACGCTGGGAAACACGCTCTTCGGCTAGCAGACTGCAGTGGCTGCTTCATCCTTTCAAATCACTGTGGCCCACAAAATTGAAGATAAAGGTTCTTCCATTATCCATATAAAGGCTCTCTTCTTTGGTTCTCCACAGTATGATGTTGCAAGGATACATGGGTTTGTGAGACTGGGAGAGTCTCCATTGTCTGTGTGTGTGTTTACTGGGGGACGTTTCCCACTGGACGTCACTGAGAAAATGCAGTCAACCAGGAATGATATGTGCATGCACCTTTTCTCTGAAGGTACGAGAATGAGGAGTGCTCCCTTAAAGGTATCCCTTTCCAGTTTTAATTTGAAATCCCGTGTCCAAACGTTTATCTCTTGTGTACTTGGACCAGCCTTGGCAGATCTCAGAGATACTACGGATACAGAGAGAGGTGGTTTCTCCCCTCCCTGAGCAGATGAAGGGTTATGTTATTAGAGACTGTTTTTGCGACTGTTATCATCATGGTGATTACAAAAGTCTGTTCCTAAAGTAAGAGTGTATAAAGAAAATGTACTTTCAGGATTAAAAAAAAGTATGTATATTAGTCTCCCTTATTATATTTTAAGACCATGGGTATCCAAGCCTTCATTTGTGGGGAGAACCTTTTGCTTTTAGGCCTCCTGCCTACCTACTTGTGATGTTAGCCTCCTGTAGGGTGTACAGATGGCTAGTTTCATCCTTTCATCCTTTCATCCAGGGCCACCACTGGCTGCGGTACTGTGTCCATGACTCTGGGGGACCCCATTAAGGGTTATCTTTCTGCAAAGTGTTGGATCCTCAGGTGACCTGGGCCAGAGAAAGGAAGGGCTCCTGTGATGCCAAAACCCTGCTTCTTCTCTTCCTTGCTGCCCTGTGGAGAGCACCGGGTTTGTCATCGGGGGTACAGCCTGAGTCTCTCCTATGACCCACCAAGCACAGGGTGCTGTTACTGGTCCTTATTCATTGGTACGACCATTGTTCATGCTTCATCCACTTGTCTTGGCATTGTAGGAGCCGAAGAATTCTGTGGTGATTTAAAGCAAGGTCTCAGGCCAAGGTTTTACTAAGTAATAGGACTGCATTTGAAGGCCTTTCTGTATTCGAAAGTAGGATCCGTGGTGTCTGAGGGCTCACGGCACAGGTGGGTAAAGAAGTGTTTTTGGTGGGCCAGTTCTCAGTGGGGCTTTGCCTTCTTCCCAAGGTCCTGGAAGTGACTCCAGCACCACAAGCTAAGGGCAAAACTATAGGATTTTTTTTTCTTACGTTTTGTCAGATAATATAAAATAGCCTATTAATGTCATGTCAATGTTTCTATTTTCAGACGAGACACAACATGAACCTTGTACGATCGTGTTGAGTGTATTGTGGCTGTTCATTTTAAGACATAAGGAAAGCAAAGCATACGTTTTCTAAGGATTCCTATGGGTGTGGATAGGATATATTCATATATCTTATGTTGAAAGCAGGGTTAAAGACAAGTGGCCTATAAAGATAGAAGTCCACATGGTGTCTGGTCAGAAGTGGGTGGACAAACATGGGGGGATTTATCTACTAGACTGTCCAGGCATAAAACCCTCCACCCTGGGATTAATACCCTCTCCACTTACCCAGGGGACTGTACTCATTCCCAACACTCGGAGAAGAATGTTTTTAATTCACTGGCACATGCTATGCGAATGTTGCCTACAACCTTGAGTTCATTGTTGTAAGAAATTAAATTTGGATTTTTTTCAGAGGGGTTGTGCCATTCCGAAACATGTGTCTATAGGCTTGGTTTCTGTTTTGTTAGACTACAGGATATCTTGCTCATTTTTGTCTCTTGAGTCTTTCTCTTTCCTCCAGATTTTCTAGATATTTTACTTTGTGGCATTTTCTGAGCTTGACTCATTATAAATTAAATATGTATATATTTTCTTTTTTCTGCTCAGAGTCCCTATTCTCAACTTTTCCAATGGGAAAACAAATTAATAGGAGATGTCACTTTATTGACAGAGGCGAAGGGTAACTAAAAATCATGCTTAGAAGAAGCACATCTGGGTATTTCCCTGTGAATGGATTTGTAATTACACATGGTGTTTCATAGATCTGCGCGTGGCCATTTTCAGACACAGACTTTCACCTCTAGGGGTCTTTAAGAGCTCACGTTTTGGTGCTTACTGTGTGTCTAGTGCTGCCCGAAGCATCTTGGAAATGTTACCTCATCTAGTCCTCACCAATACCTGCTGATGTAGGTACCAGTTATTGCCTTCTTTGTACAGATGAGAAAAATGAACCCATAGAGGTTAAATAGAGTGTCAGAGCTCATATGCTTTTAAGCCCAGCTGGGGTATTAACCCAGACCATAAGGCTTTGGAGTCCTTGTGTTTAACCAATGGGCTATACTACCTCTCACTGCTGTTCAGAATGCAGTAATTGTGGTCCTTATAATTAAATAGATGATAATGACTCTAGGGACAATGACACTGGTCATTTCAGATATGTGTTTAGGTGGAATGAATGGGAGTTAAGCCTTTTCCAAGATGCTTTGGGGGAGGGGGACCCCTCATCATGTGAGTGGGAATAATTCTTAGTCACGGTCATTACATTGACAAGAGATAGAGCCAGAACTCTTCTGAAGAAGCATAAGGTGGAGATGTCTGTGCCATATCTGTGGAGGACCCAGACCCTGGGAATCACATGCACATGACATCCTTGGAATCTAGCTGGATGGTCTGGAAAATCTCAGTGGCTGGTTCCAGGCTGAGACCCAAATTGAAGATGGAGTTATTTTTTACCCACATTTAGGGGAAGCTCTTAGATGATGGAGAGCATGAAGGCTGAAAACAACTACATGACGGGGGTCATGGATAAACTCCATACTTTTGCCAGATTCTTTTTGAGAATTCCAGGTTATTCGAAATAAGGGATAAGTGTAGAGA